TTGGGAGGCCTAGGTGGGCGGATCATGAAATCAAGAGATTGAGACCATCCTGGCCAACATGGTGAAACGCCATCTCTACTAAAAATGTAAAAATTAGCCAGGCGTGGTGGTGCATGCCTGTAATCCCAGATACTTAGGAGACTGAGGTGGGAGAATCTCTCGAACCTGGGAGGCAGAGGTTGCAGTGAGCTGAAATCACACCATTGCACTCTAGCCTGGGCAACAGAGCCAGTCTCCATCTCAAAAATAATAATAATAAATATATACAAAAATTAGCCAGGTGTGGTGGCGCACCCCTGTAATTCCAGCTACTCAGGAGGCTGAGGCAGGAGAATTGCTGGAACCCGGGAGGCAGAGGTTGCAGTGAGCAAAGATTGCACCACTGCACTCTAGCCTGGGTGATAGAGTGAGACACTGTCTTAAAAATAATAATAATAATATATATTATGTATTAATAACATATATTTCACATACTAATACATAATGTTTCACATATATGAGACAAGTTTATATATTTCACATACAAATACATGTTTCATATATATATATGACAACTTCCTGTATTGTATCAATAAGATAACCCCATTAGATGCATTATACTTCATATTCTTGAGGGCAACACATACTGGTTTGTATTCAGAGTGTACACCATTAATTAAATTAGCTAATATAGACTATCAAAAACGCCCTGCCCAAAACAAAATAAGTGTATAAAAATATTCCTCAAATTTCTTTCTTTTTTTTTTTTAGATGGGTCTCACTATTTTGCCCCGGCTACCCTCAAACTCCAGATCCTCCCCCTTCAGCCTCCCAAGTGTCTGGGACTATAGGCATGCATGACCCCACCTGACTTCATATTTCTCAAACTTCTGTCACAAAATATGATCCCATATTTTTCTGTGAATGCATAAGATTTTATTAATGTTCATATAACCAGTGTATACAGGATTTCAAGTAGTTAGTCAATTGCCTCACAGAAAAAAATTCCCAAAGTAAAATTAGAGGGCCATGTTAGGCAACCTGAATTCTCTCTGAATAGGTATAACACCAGAAGTTTCACCTTAGTACCTTCTCCTTTTTGAGTGTTTAGGTGGGCAAAAGAGACTTGGGGGCATGAGATACAAGGCAGAGAGAAATTCAGCACAGGGGCTAAATCAACAGCAGGCCATGTGACCACAGTCTTCGTGTGCGGTGCTGCTGGAGCAGGGGATGGTGCAGGACTTGCAGTGGTTGTGTGCACTTTGTGGCCAACAATGCTGAGTCACGCCAGCATCACACTCTAAGGGAACAATGCCAAAGGACAAGCTACCACCTCTATGTATTTGTGGTGTTTATGACTCACTCCCAGGTAAATGCAGGCCTTTATTCATGCTTGGTGACTTTTCATGGTAATCATTCAAAATGTCCTAGTGTCATAATGCAATTAGAGTAGAATTCATCTTGAGTCACTAAAATTACATAATTACAAATATTAATCACAATTACTATCAAAGCTATGAACCAAATTCAAACTCAAACCTAACAGCATCATAATCCTCGAAAATCAGATGCCCAAAGAGTAAGGCCGGTGCTTCTTAAAAGTCAAACAATCCTTTGTATATTTAAAACAGGCTAAAATAAAAGTTGCTAAGATCTTAGTCAGACCAAGTCCCAGGGTCCGAGGAGATGCATTTGTCCTGTGGCTGGAGCAACAAAAGCACAGCTGATAAAAAGAAGCAAACGAGCTATTATTCTTGTATTTTCTTGTCCTAGCCTTCTATACTGTGGCTCTAGCACTTCTGCTTTCAGGGGACAAAACTAGGGTAGAAGGGTAACTATATTCTCCACTGAATTTTAATGCTCAGAATAAAATAGTTACTTGAAGTGGGGAAAAACATTTACCCTTTTCTTTGTGTTAACAATGAGGAAAAGTCCTGAAGCTTACAAGAGTAAGGAATGACCCAGCACTATGGCTCATGGCTGTAATCCCAGCACTTTGGGAGGCTGAGGCAGGAGGACTGCTTGAGGCCAGGAATTTGGCACAATACAGCCAGACCCCATCTCAAAAAAAAAAAAAAAAAAAGGAAGAAGAAGAAGAGGAAGGTGAAAGTGCAATAACATAACTTCTTAACAAGATTTACCCATAATCATATCTGAAGCTCAACAAATTAAATAGCTTTTAAATAAAAGACACAGCAGAATATGACCAAAGACAGAAGAGAATTATTTAACCACAGTTAATAATTTGCCTAGGCTCACCTTTCAATTGGCTTATTCAATAAAAGCACAGAAGAAATACAATGCAAGAGGGATTTAACTGGGGAGACTTGAACTGCATTTCAAAAAAAAAAAAGTGTGTTTCACTAAATGAAAGAGCAGCAGAAGGAAGTTTTTCAGTGCAGAAAATAAGCCTAACTCTCCCTCTCAACTCCTCAAAATCTATTTTCAGGACTATATCATTCAGACACATCTCAAAATCGTACCCACACTCCTGGGGTCCTTGGCCTGCCTGTGACCCTTGCCTAAACTTTGATACAGAGACGTGGTGCTCTCAAGGCCAAAAACTGCACCAGCCAAGCACACAAGTGCTCAATGTTTCATCATCACCCTCTATCAGTCTGTCTAGGATTGTGACACTACTTCTCAGATGACTCCAAACACTAGTATGTATCAACAGGGCACACACCCCTTACTTAATACCCCTGGTACTAAGTACCCCTGGATACCCAAGCACCAAGTCAGGAGGGGAGCAGAGTTGCATACCATGCACAGTTGTGGGATTAGCAGAGACGAAAGCAGTACATATCAGAGCCGAAATGAGATCTCACACTGTCCTTTGCTTATGCACCTATTTCAGTATTTATCACAGTGGTCTGTGAAAAGCCTATCTCCCCACAGGGACCATGTCTTAATCAACTTTGGATCCTTTGTCAACCCTACATGTTGCAGTTGTTCAATAACTATGAGAGTCAATTTCCCATTTCACAGGCTACAAGGAAGGGCAGACACTCTGAATGAAATACGACAAATTTTGCAGGCATCAGCATTACTCTAAAATATTATGATTTCTATTTTCTCCTCCTGTTCACTTCCATTCTTTCCTGGAGATACCACGGAAAAGACAAAGATCAAAAACAGAAAAAGCAGATGTTTGACAAAGATTGCAATAAAAATAGTAATCCAGTAAGTGTAAATATTCAAAAAGTTCTCATTTCTGCATAGGCAAAAAAAAAAAAAAAACTAAACCCATGCTACTGGACCCTCTCATCTACTGATTTTTTAATCCCATCCATCACCTGCCAAATTGAAATACTTTGTGTCCTTTAAAACTCATGGCCTGGCCGGGTGCAATGGCTGATGCCCTGTAATCCCAGCACTTTGAGAGGCCGAGGTGGGAGGATCGCTTGAGGTCAGGAGTTTGAGACCAGCTTGGCCAACATGGTAAAACCCCATCTCTACTAAAAATACAAAAATTAGCCGGGCATGGTGGCACACGCCTGTAGTCCCAGCTACTCAGGAGGCTGAGGCAGGAAAATCGCTTGAACCTGGGAGGCAGAGGTTACAGTGAGCCAAGATCTCGCCACTGCATTCCAGCCTCGGGGACAGAGTGAGACTTTGTCTCAAAAGCAGAAAATTTAATTAATTTAATGTAAATAAGAAAATTAAATTAAATTAAAACTCATGGCCCAAAACATGTACCGCAATCACCCCAATATATTAAGGCTCGCTGATTTTCACTCAAGATCAACAGCTCAGTCTCACCAAGCACAACAGAAAACCAGCAAGAAAGTTTGTTCTTTCCTTAAATCATAAGGACATACATTTTTAAAGGAACTCAGAATAATTTTTTAAAATTATAGATCTGTTATATCTCAGAGAAGGTATCTGGCAATAAAAAAACGATAAAATATAGCCAGAAATACCCAGACTTGGTAAAAATGTTATTGGTGATAATATTTTGGTGTTTAAGTATACACAATGAAGCTCTACTAGTTGCTTCAATCATTTGAAAATCATAATCCGATTATACAAAAATACCTCAATGTTTTCAGTCAAATATTTTGTTATTTCCAAAACTCGTTATAGAATACAATTTCTACAATTCCTTTTAGAAAAGCTTCCAGAAGATAAATTCCTTCCAACAAAGTATTTGATAGTTTGACTTTTTTTTTTTTTCCCAAATGAGGTCTCACTGTATTGCCCAGGCCAGAGTGCAGTGGTGTGATCACGGCTCACTACAGCCTCAACTTCCACGGTTCAAGCAATCCTCCCACCTCAGCCCTGCTCCTAGTAGCTGGGACTACAGGTGCGCACCACCACACTCAGCTAATTTTTGTATTTTTTGTTGAGACGGGGTTTCACCATGTGCCCAGGCTGGTCTTGAACTACTGAGCCCAAGCAATCTGCCCGCCTCAGCCTCCCACAGTGCTGGGATTACAGGCGTGAGCCACTGCACCTGGTCAAGCATGTTTCTTTATTGCAGGACTTTTCTGAGCCTTTATTAGTATGCAACAGACTCTCCAAAAGGAAAGTGTAGTATGTGATGATTCCTAAGCTTATTTCACAAGAAAATTATTTTTTATTTCATGTATTACCAATCAGCCTTCAGGAGAAAAGAGTATTTTGAGAAACATACTTTGAGAATCACAAGTTGGTTAATGAAACCTCAATAATAGGTTTTAACTTGCAGGAACTCTCATTAGCCTTTTTCTTTTTCTTTTTCTTTTTTCTTTTGGCCATTGACTACATCTTTAAAACCATGGACAGCCATCTTCAAATGCATGCCCTTAGAAAGGAAAACAATACCTATAAGAACACATAGATAAGCTAACACATATTACCACCTTTACAATAAAAAGTCCATGAAAACTCAGGCAGCTGCTATTCTACACTGACAGAATTATGAAAGATCCAAAGCCTATAGAACATACTGCTCTCTGCATATTTCAAGTTCAAATTGGGTAGGTTTACATCTACGCAATTTGAATATGGTAACAATCATAATGAAAAGGAAAACTTACCAACAGAAGCAGAGTTTTTAAGAATCGACTCCTTTGGGGTTCCTTTTTCAATTCGTATTGTGGCCCACTGTTCAAAAACAAGAAATACTAATTTAAACTGTCCCACAGACACAACATAAAATACTTCAACCATATTATACACAAGTGAAATTACACATCAAGCTGTGACAGTATCTGAACTAAAGAGATAACCCCAGTGAATCTCTGATGTAGCAGTATTCCAAGTCCCAAGTATACTTTTATATCAGTTACTGATAATGCCCTAATAAAATGTGGAAAGGACAATATTTACCCTTTCTCAACCACCTCACATGCATGGGTGTCCTGATAAATTACTCATTGAGAAGGCTGTGAAGCATGGGGGGCATGAGTACAGGTCACGGCATCAAGAATGTCTGGGTTTAAAATTACTTATTCCCTATAGGCCTGTTTCCTCATTGTAAAATAAGGATAATAGATCCTATCCTATAGGGTTGCTGTCACATTAAACAAGATAACACATATAAGGGCCTAAAACGTAGGGCATAAAGTATAACAATTATTTTCACAACAAATTAGACATTCAGGGGTAGGACATACTCAAAGATGCATCAGAAATAAGCTTGCAGAAAGAGGCAGCACAGACTTGGAAAGTTAGAAAGGACTCGATGAAATCATTAACTAAGGCACGATTGGCTCACGCCTGTAATCCCAGCACTTTGGGAGGCCGAGGAGGGTGGATCATTTGAGGTCAGGAGTTCAAGACTAGCCTGGCCAACATGGCAAAACCCCATCTCTACTAAAAATACAAAAATTAGCCAGGCATGGTGAAGCATGCTGGAGCTACTCTAGAGGCTGAAGCAGAATTGCTTGAACCAGGGAGGAAGAGGCTGCAGTGAGCAGAGATCGGGTCCCTGCACTCCAGCCTAGGCAACAGAGTGAGACTCTCTCAAAAAAAAAGAAAAGAAAAAGAAATCATTAACTACAGAAAACCATCTGTCCACATGGTTACTTATGAAGATGCATAGGAAAATGTTATAATTATGAAGATCTACAGATTTTAGGGAATTTAAGAACTGGAAAACAACTCTCGTGTTGTTTTGAAGGTACCTAGGAATATAAAAAAATGTACCCAGAAGTAATTTTTAAAATTTTTTTCTTTATACATTTTTTACACACTTCCCAAATTATTCACTATTAACATCATAATTCAAAAACTGCTAGTGAACTTTTCAAGTCTCTCATTCTAGAGAATCCCCAGGGCTCTCACACTAAAAAGTATCGTAATCGGCCGGGCGCGGTGGCTCAAGCCTGTAATCCCAGCACTTTGGAGCGCCGGAGACGGCGGATCACGGGTCAGGAGATCGAGACCATCCTGGCCTAACACGGTTGAAACCCCATCTCTATTAAGAAATACAAAAAAACTAGCCGGGCGAAGTGGCGGGCGCCTGTAGTCCCAGCTACTCGGGAGGCTGAGGGGCGAGAATGGCGTGAACCCGGGAGGCGGAGCTTGCAGTGAGCTGAGATTCCGGCCACTGCACTCCAGCCTGGGCGACAGAGCGAGACTCCGTCTCAAAAAAAAAAAAAAAAAAAAAAAAAAAGTCTCGTAATCATTATAATTGAACATAAGCACCCTGAAGGGGCAGAGACAATTTTTTTTTTTTTTTTTTTTGAGACAGGGGCTTGCTGCAGCCTTGACCTCCTGGGCTCAAGCAATCCTCCCACCTCAGCCTTCTGAGTAGCTGGAACCACAGGCCCGCATCACCACTCCCAGCTAATTTTTGGATTTTTTGTAAAAATCGGGTTTCACCTTGTCAACCAGACTGTACTTGAACTCCTGAGCTCAAGCAATCTACCGGCCTCAGCCTCCCAAAGTGCTGGGATTACAGGCGTAAGCTACCATTTTATATCCTATTTTATTTTATTTTATTTTTATTTTTTGAGAAGGAGTTTCGCTCTTATTGCGCAGGCTGGAGTCCAATGGCACAATCTCGGCTCACTGCAATCTCCGCCTCCTGGGTTCAAGCGATTCTCCTGCCTTGGCCCCCCAAGTAGCTGGGACTACAGGCATCCACCACCAAGCCCAGCTAATTTTTGTATTTTTAGTAAAGATGGGATTTCACTAAGTTGGCCAGTGTGGTCTCAAACTCCTGACCTCAGGTGATCCAAATGCCTCAGCCTCCCAAAATGCTGGGATTATAGGTGTGACCCACTGCACCTAGCCCAGAGACAGATTTATTAATAGGCCAAGTCAAAACCTCAGTTATTGCTAGGCTCAAAAGAGTTTGTTGACTAGAGAGGTTAAAAAATTTTTCAAATAAATAAGAACGTAACTGATAGAGAATAAATAACCTAAAACGTACTTGAAGGTCAGGGAGTAATGCATGATATCTGACTACGTCAGGACCCCTTCAAAACAACCCACAGAGCCAAACAAGAACATGCCATTTGCACTTAGAAAACAGCCTATAAATAGAGGCCAGTCTTCCCAGTTTCCAGTGACAAGTGACTAAATCATAAGACTCAGTCTTAATCTGATTGCATCCTGTTATCTTTTGCGGATTTAGTGCATGAGTTCTCAAACTCTGGACTAATACCACTCAGCTTTTCTCAACTGAGGTAACTGTTTCCATAGATTTTCACTTAAAGCTTCAGGGCCTATTATCATTTGTAAGTAAACCAAAGATATAATTAAAATAAAATGTTGTAAACAGTCAATCATTGTTCATTTCAGACTCATTTTTTTCATTGTGAGGCGAGTGATTTTATATTTTATACAAATAGTAGTTACCTTAGACTAGAACTATTATTCCATGCTCATATGATGGAAAATGCTGGTATTCTGTTCCTGCTAATGGGCTGAATTATGTCCCTCTAAAATTCATACGTTGAAGCTCTAACCCCCAGAATGTGACTATATTTACAGATAGGGTCTTCAAAGGGTGACTACGTTAAAAAGAAGCCCTCAGGGTGGGCCCTAATCCAATCTGACTGATGTCCTTATAAGAAGAGAAAACTTGGACACGCAAATAGACACCAGGATGTGAGCACAGAAAGGGCCATGTGAGGATACCACACCTTCTTGCTAGAAGGTAGTCACATGCAAGCCTAGGAGAGAGGCCTCAGAATGAGGCTAAACCTGCTGACACCTTGATCTTGAACCTCTAGCTTCCAAAACTGAGAAAATAAATTTCTGTTGTTTAGGCCACCAGTCTGTGGTACTTTGTTATGGCAGCTCTAGCAAACTAATACAGTGACATTCCTCAAAAAGCATGATCTGCTCAAAAGCACTCCATGTTTTGGCACCAGACAAGTTTCAGAATGCATTCTGTCTCCTGAAATGATAGCTCTAAAGGTCTACCCTGCATAACACAATTACTGTGTTAAAATAAGCACATTTTAGGCCAGACACTGTGGCTCATGCCTATAATCACAATACTTTGGGAGGCCAAGGCAGGAAAATCGCTTGAGTCCAGGAGTTCGAACCAATCTGGGCAACAGGGTGAAACCTTGTCTCTCCAAAAAAAAAAAAAAAAAAAGTTTTAAATTAGTTGGGCATGGTGGTACACGTCTGTGGTCCCAACCACTCAGGAGGACTGCTTGAGGAGGTCGAGGTTACAGTGAGCTGTGATCATGCCACTGCACTGCAGGCTGGGTGACAGGGAGAACCTGCCTGAAAAAAAAAAAAAAAAAAAAAGATATGCAAATGTTAAGGTTGAAGAAGCAGACATTTAGTGCCTAAGGGAATTTGTACTAGAAAACCCTTTTCTTCTGTAGGATGACCCTCCACTGAAAGTAAAAACATGCCTGTGCCTTGCAGCTAGATAGATACACATTTGAATTGCAGTTCTGCCACTTCCTGGCTGGAATCATCTCACACAAGAGACTTTAACGTCTTGGGGCATCCATTTCATCATCTCTAAAACAGGGACAAGGCCAGGCGGGGTGGCTCATGCCTGTAATTCCAGCACTTTGGGAGGCCAAGACGGGCAGATCACTCGAGGACAAGAGTTGGAGACCAGCCTGGTCAACACAGTGAAATCCCGTCTCTACTGAAAATACAAAAATTAGCCAGGCATGGTGGCTCATGCCTGTAATCCCAGCCACTTAGGAGGCTGAGGCAGGAGAATCGCATGAATCCGGGAGGGGGAGGTTGCAGTGGGCCGAGATTGTGCCGCTGCACTCCATCCAGCCTGGGTGACAGAGCAAGGCTCTGTCTCACAAAAAGAAATAAAATAGGCCGGGCGCGGTGGCTCAAGCCTGTAATCCCAGCACTTTGGGAGGCCGAGACGGGCGGATCACGAGGTCAGGAGATCGAGACCATTCTGGCTAACACAGTGAAACCCCGTCTCTACTAAAAATACAAAAACTTAGCCGGGCGAGGTGGCAGGCGCCTGTAGTCCCAGCTACTAGGGAGGCTGAGGCAGGAGAATGGCGTAAACCCGGGAGGCGGAGCTTGCAGTGAGCTGAGATCCGGCCACTGCACTCCAGCCTGGGTGACAGAGCGAGACTCCGTCTCAAAAAAAAAAAAAAAGAAATAAAATAAAAATAAAACAGGGGCAATACCAAAGGTGGCTGTAAAGGCTAAAGGAGATAATGTAGCTCCTGCCTACCACACAGCAGGCCACGAAGTAGCCTCCTCCTCCCTATATTCCACATGTCAGGCCTCTGAAATGGCCAGTTTTTTCCAGACTGTCCAGTGCTTCTCCCTATAAATAGTTATTTCTCTTTTACCATGCCAGCTTCTCTAGCCAATCAGATCAACCCAAATACAAAGACAGAATATCTCTTCCAGACGTTCTGAATCTCTTACAGGGGTATATCAGAACATATCTGCCTCAAGGCATCACAAAAGACGCAGCTCTGTCAGCAAAATGGTCCTAAAGTACAAAAGTGGCTTCTAACAACCCACAGTTTCTGCCTCCCCAGGAAAGTTGAAAGATACTTATCAATGAAGTTATCTTTCATACCTAATTTCCAAATCCTCTTGGAGGGAAAAAGGTAGCTGTCCAAAATTCACCAAAAGAAATGGCTTTAAGTCTGATTTTTTTTTTTTTAGATGGAGTGTTGCTCTGTCACCCAGGCTGGAGTGTAGTGGCGTGATCTTGGCTCACTATAGCCTGTGCCTCCCAAATTCAAGTGATTCTCCTGCCTCAGCCTCCTGAGCAGCTGGGATTACAGGTGCATACCACCATGCTTGGCTAATTTTTGTATTTTTAGTAGAGATGGGGTTTCACCATGTTGGCCAGGCTGGTCTCAAATTCCTGATCTCAAGTTATCCGCCCGCCTCGGCTTCCCAAAGTGCTGGGATTACAGACATGAGCCACCACACCTGGCCAAGTTTTACTTTTCATAATTTGTATTCCTAAAACAATTTTCTCGAATATAAAGCTGTAATATTAGCATACATATCCAACAAATTATCATATATCCCTTGAAAATCACTGGCTTGGAGAATCACTAAACTTATTCTAAGTATTCAAGGCTTATCCTCAAGTATCTTGTCATATCAGTGACTTATGCATACATCTAGAGATACCTAGCAATGCAGAAGAAAGTAGAAGTAGGTGCTCAATAAATGATTATTACTTGAACCAGTGGGTTAAGAAGGGGTCAGAGAAGAGCATAAAGCTCAGTGAGTTGACAAGTAATAATTATCAAAATCAGCAATTTAGAAGGTACCCTACACACATTTCAACTTCTAGAATTTGAGTTTACGGTCATGAGAAAGATACCCATTGACAGTAAAACTTGTCAAAGTAAACATATAATAGACAAAACTAAATGATCTTTTTAAATGGTACATAAATTATAAGCAAAGAAACTTGAGAAACATCCAATTATGATCAGAGCTCAAAGAATATTCTTGGGAATGAAATGTAAAGAAAGAAACAACTAAATCAATTAAGAATTTACCAAGGAGTGACACAAGGGCTGGGCCTTGAATGCAATCTACAAAAAGGCAGTGTATTTGTCCAGCACTGAAGATTTTCTCATGCTAAACATCAACATAATCCCTTAAGGAATTATTCCTATAGTTGAGAAAAGCAGTCCACCATATTAACCCCAGTCTAACAGAAATGTCTTTGAAACATCTAACACTGTTCTAGTTGAAGGATAGAAGATCCTGGGTTACTGTTCTCCTGCACCTAAAGCAGAAATCACTATGGGATCACAGCTCTCCTTCCTGATGAGCTCAGATGCTCCCACAGGAGTTCCAGACAGTCACAGCCAACAAATCAGAGCTGGCTCACACAATGAATCTGTATTCAAATTCCACATACATCAAGCACCTCTTTGACCTAATAACTTAGTCTCAGCAGACAGGGTGGGTTCCTTATGTGTCACCTACCTAGTTTCCAAGCTATCTAGTTTCTCCCACCAGAATTAGAAAACTGGCATTCTTGACAGTTTGATTGACAAGGAGTTCAGCTCTGGAGTTGCGCAGAAGGACAAAAATTAAAATCTGTGGCCCTGTCAAACTGAAAGTCAGATCCTGGACTGGAGATCATCCTATCAGGCGCAATAATTTGCCAGGTTGACAGCAACTAGCTGGCCTCTGCCCTTAGCTGTACCTTGAGTCACTAAAGAAAAACAGGAGTAAGCCCCTGGAAGCCAGTGGGTATGACTTACCTTAAACCATTCTTAAACAGGGTATAAATTCCAAAAGACACTACTGTATGGGAGAACAGTTCAATCATTTCAGAGTTCAGAGAAAGACGGAACACCAGCTGAAGAGGATCATCTGCTATGGGAGAGGATTCTGAAGAAGGTCTAACAGTAGTAGGCAGCGAAGAAATTCACAGCATAATGTGACCAAGCTCACAATGTAAAGTCAATAAGAGTTCAAAACAGAAATAGCTCCCAAGTAGAAACAATAAAACTTTAAAAGCATGAGCACTGAGAATGAAGAATCACATACAACTTCAAAGACTAGGCAAAGAAATAGCCACAAACGAGAGTCTAGGGCAATACAGGAGGCTAGCAGGTACAAGACAGTGTCCAGTGGGTTAGAGATGTATACCTGGGAGCCACCCAATTAGCTGAGGAAGAAGAGCAGATAAAGCCACATCCTAAGGGCAGAGAGAAAATCAGGTCACAAAAATGGGAACCAAACTTATAAGAAGGCACTGTGGAATGCTAGAATCTCAGTAATCATATTATTCTTTTAATAGCAACAAACATTCATATAGTCGATGCAGGCAGCCTTCTAAGGTGCTTGATACATTTTAACTGATTTGAACAACCCTGTGGAAATAGGAGTTATTGTTACTCCTATTTTATAGATAAAGAAAACGAGGCACTAGAGTAGATGACCTCCTTAAGGTCACATTTTGAGAAACAGAGCTACAATTTTGGTACCAAATCTAAGCAAACCTGTATCCAGGATCTCTACTCCTAACCACTAGGCTGTAGGGCCTCTTCTCAGTTAAGACTCCTGTTTCTGGCCAGGAGTGGGGCTCACACCTGTAATCCCAGCACTTTGGGAGGCAAAGGCAGGAAGACTGCTTGAGGCCAGGAGATCAAGACCAGCCTGGCCAAGATAGCAAGACGCTGTCTCTTATATTTAAAAAAAGTATATATAATATATATATATATAAAAATCTTTTTGAAACAAGTAGATATAAATTATATACATACAATTTTTTTTTAAAAAAAGACTCCTGCTTCTAACAGTTAATTCAAACAAACCACTTATCTCTGACTCTCAGTTTCCCTCTCTTTAAAAGGGGGATAGCACTTGCCCTCCCTACCCTACCCAGCCTTTTGACACTTAATAAAACCCTAAGAGTAAGCTGCAGTTGTTCTCTACCAGGCCCACTTCCATCTAACATTTTTCTTTGCAGAATTTGGAAACAGGAGGGTAGGGAGACCTGAGGTCAAAGAATATATACCTTTTCAATGGCATTTCAAGTGCTGTTAGTTAGATAAAATTCCATGACTCCACTAAAATAAAATACGATTTCTTTCTGCCATCCAGGAATTGGTCTCTTATCTTGGGCATAAAGAAGAACACGATGCCTTTCTGAACAGGATGCCTGAGTACACAAAAGGACCTCTGAAACCTGGGGCTGTAAAAACAAGCGGGTGAAGCGGAAACTGCACTGCATAATGGATATAAGCAAATCCTCTGATACAAAAAGTTGGTCGCATTGTTATTATAATCAGTAAAATAATAACGATGCTCAGGGAATGGAGTGATTTTTGCTTCCGACCAGAGGAACAATAGTGGTCCAGTGGTTTCAGCCCAGATCCCTCTAGGTCCGCGAAAGCCGCCGAGATGCTGACTTTCGCACTGCCGCGGGCAAGGAACAGAAATGCACGCACGCATGCACACGCGCGCACACACACCCCTGACCCGCGACCACTGACCTTGAGAGCTGGACCCCAGGGTTCTGAGCCCGCAGCGGCGTGGGGCTGGCTGCATCCCTCCCGGCACTCACCTCTAAAGTTTTCACCAGGATCTTCATGTAGATCTCGGAGATGCCCAGAGACACTCCGAAGACCGAAGGCAGAAGGATGAAGCCGAGAACCAGCGTCAGCCAGGTGGAAAGGATCTTCCCGGCCAGCTCTGCGCCCTCCATGACTCGGCGCACCCACTCAGGAGAGGTCCGCAGTGGAGGGCCGAGCGCCACAGCAGTCCCTGTCCCCAGGCAGTCCCGCGGGAGCTCCAGGAGCAGAGCGCCGAGCCCGGCACTCACCTCTGCGAGGGGAAGAGAGGAAGGAAAAAAACTTTCAGAATTACGGCAATATCCTTCCTTCCTCCCCGGGCTCCTCCTCGCCCCTCTCAGTTAACTCCTTCTCCGCCGGCGGCCCAGGTCTGGGCTGAAGCCACCGCGGCGTGCGCAGACCTGGGTAGCGCGAGCCAGTGGTCGGAGCTGCGGGTAAGCGGAGGGACACTGCCGCGCGGCAGAGCGCGCGAGCGCAGCCGGGAACGCGCCCCGCTCGGTGCCTGATTTTCTCTGGGTGGTGATTGCGACAACTCAGCAGATGACTCACAGAGGCCCTCCCCGAGCCAGGTTCCCTGCGGGAGCACCGCACTTTGGCACACCGGCAGCGGGCGGAGCTCGCACCGGGCCGCGGGCTGTGCTGGAGGCTGGCTGCGCTCGGGCGTCCAGAGCCCTATTTCTGCGCGCTGCCCTCGCCCCACCTCCTCCGTCACCCAACGGGGGAGCTCCCTGGCAGGACTTAGCCCAGGAGCGCCGCAGCCTCCTGGGCGGTCTCAGTTTTTCCCCGCGCCCCGCCTCCCCCAGCACTCAGCAAAGGTCCTTTCAGGAGGAGAGTTTTCATCTGAAAAATGTTAATATTTTCTTCACCCGCAGAATGAACTGCTGACGTTTCTGGGACGCTTGAGGTCTTGTTTGTGTGGGTGTAAAACGAACTCTTGGGAAGGGCTTCCAAGGACAGGAAAATGCAGAGCGCACCAGGTAGCCGTGTACGCCGCTTCAGGCTCCCACACCTCCTTCCCCGCATGGCCTACAATTGTGGGGCTCAATCTTGCTTATCCCGAGACTAGGAAGCTCTGTCCACGCGTCGCCTAACCCATTGAGCCGCCATCTCCCTAGCACAGAAACCTATCTGTCACTCCCTTACTGGAGAAGATTCCAACCACACCCTCCCCTACCATTCAGCTAATACTCTCCGCGCTTAGAGGTAGCAGAAATGCCAGGCCGGCGCAAGCCTTCATTCACCAAGCTGACACGTGTCTCCTGGGTGTTCAGGCTCCGCGCTTCTACCGTGCCAGCCCTTATCAGAGCAACGAAGGGCAAAACCCTGTATGTTATTTACTCCATTGCAGTTCTCTTAGAGACCTGAACTATTTTAAAGAATGGGCAGAAGGGATTTTGAGAAGGGCTTTTCCAGATTGCCGCTGAATTCGACCAAAATATCTTACAGGTACTTTTCAGGTGTTGTTTCAAGCTGGAAAAACTGGGAGGGCCAGCAAACTGAATTGAAACAGCGTTGATAGCAAATATTGCAGAGAAAATGGTCCCTGCCCAGGGTGTGGAGGAAGTGGGGAGGCAAGAAAGTGAGAGGCACCTCTGTAAATAATGTAGATGTCTGCCTTATGTACTTACTGCCAGGTAGCTGTCACAAGCCCCCTCCCGCACTAAGAACGGAAAAAATTATAACTTGATGATTAAAACCAGGTTATGGACCGGGCGCGGTGGATCACGCCTGTAATCCCAGCACTCTGGGAGGCGAGGTGGGCAGATCACCTGAGGTCAGGAGTTCAAGACCAGCCTGGCCAACATGGCGAAACCCCCATCTCTACTAAAAATACAAAAAAAAATTAGCCCCGCGTGGTGTCGCACGCCTGTAGTCCCAGCTACTCAAGAGGATGAGGCAGGAGAATCACTTGAACCTGGGAGGCGGAGGTTGCAGTGAGCCGAAATCGTGCCACTGCACTCCAGCCTGGGAGACAGAGCGAGACTCCGTCTCAAAAAACAAAAAGGAAACAAACAAACAAAGAAACAGATTATGAATGAAGACGTGTTAGGAGCTTGGTTTCTCAAAATGAAACCTCTGTATGGGTTGGCTAGTTTAGAAAAACACGGAAAACACAACTACCGAAAGCTGCCCAAAGTCCTTGCTTCCGAAAACTATATATATTTAGTGCAAAACTCCAAAGATTATATTGGCATATTTAACACCATATGTTCAGGCAAAACTCTTATTTTCCTTTTATTCCTCAAACCAAGATGACTAAGGAAGGCTGAATCCTTGTACCAAAGTTTACCCTACAACGGAGATAATACACACAACTTTGCGTGTGCTGAGTGCACACACTCTCCAATGATTTTTGGTGCTCATGAACAAACTCCACAAAATGGTTTTGGTTTTGTTTTAACTCTTACGGAAGAATTATTGTTCCACAGCTGTATGGTGCAATGGTAATAAAATGGAATTTGGAGTCTTCGATTGACACCAGCTTGACACATGTAAGTTTGAGCAAGTGCTTCTCTGCTTCACCTTTCTCATCAGTAAGATGGGTTCTTTTCGGGGTTGAAAGTGATTCTGAGCATGAAACTGCATGGTAAATGACAAAGCTTTATGCAGAGATCAGCAGGCAGCCTGGTGCAAGGACAAAAACTCTCCATCTTTTTCTTGCCTAAAACGCAGGAGAGCCAACACAGGCTCCCCAGGGTAACAAAGGCTCATCTTTGCAGTGCTGGAGGAGGGTGAGGGAAGAGAAGAAATGTAGGGTGATCCTGACCCTGTCTCAAGTCAGGGAAGGGTGGTCCCGACTTGCCGCTCTCCTTGTCTCTCTTTCACTTACCTCACCTCTCCTCCCTCCTCCATTCCTTGAGACTTAAACCTAGGTAGGAACCTACCTACTCCGTCCCTGAAGTCAGGACCCCCTGTACTTACTGTATTTGTTTCCTAGGGATGCCTTAACAAATCACCACAAATTTAAGGACTTAACACAACAGAAATTGATTCTCTCGGTTCTGGAGACCAGAAGTGTAAAATCAAGGTGTCTGTAAGGCCACATTCCCTCCAAAACTGTAGAGGAGAATCTTCCAGGTTCTGGTGGATCCCAGCATTCTTTGGTTTGTGGCAGCACACTCATCTCTGCCTCAGTCTTCACATGGCCTTCCTGTGTCTCTTCTTCCCTTCTTTTCTTTTACAAAGACACATTATTCTGGATTTAGGGCCCACCCTCATCCAGGATGATCTAATCTTGGGATTCTTCCCTGAATTAAACTTAATCTGCAAAGACCCTTTTTCCAAATAAGATCATATCCACAGTTAGGGGTGTTAGGACTTGGACATGTCTTTTGGGGAGGCTGCAATTCAACCCATTATAATTACCATCTCTGTAAAATGAGGATAATAACACCTACCTGGCAAGGTTGTTATTGGCTATGTATTAAATGAAGGGTACGTATTAAATGGTAGCTAATAGTCAATGCTCAATAATGAAGTTATCCATACTCCTGTTTTTTACCTATTAACCCAGGCATGTATATATATACACGCCTACCCAAAAGATATGTCCAAGTCCTAACACCCGTAACTATGAATATATATACACACCTGTATATAGGTACACTTACACACCTGTGTGTGTGTATATATATTATATATATACACAGCTGATCTCTACATATATGTATATTCAAGTGTGTATGTATATGTATATACAGGTGTGTATATACATATATATGCACACACATACAGGTGTATTATATATACACACATATATACACACATGTGTATATATATTGTATACACACACTTATATATATAAAATACATATACAGTATACTGTATATATGCAAAGCTCTATGCAGAGATCAGCAGGCAGCCTGGTGCAAGGGCAAAAACCCTCCATCTTTTTCTTGCATTAATCTGCAAAGACCATTTTTCCAAATAAGGTCATATCCATAGGTCATATCCATAGCGGGGAGAGTGCCCGCCTCGGCCTCCCAAAGTGCTAGGATTACAGGCTCTGTGTGTGTGTGTGTGTGTGTGTATATATATATATATATATATATTCATGACAGCTCAGGAGGTCCTGACAACATGTACCCCACTGCACTCCAGCCTGGGCAACAGAACAAGACCCTGTCTAAAAAGGAAAAAAAAAAAAAAACATTGAGGTCCAGCTAAGTGTCTGGATATCAAAGCAAAAATAATTGATTCCAAACAGCTGCCCTTACCTGTTAACTCATTGTGTTATTCAAGTCTTCTTCAAGCCTCTGCTTTGACAGCAATTGTGGCCAATGTGAACAGAATTTAGGTTAGAATTTAGAGACAGTGTCTTGCTCTGTTGCCCAGGGTGGGGTGCAGTGGCATGATCTTGGCTCACTGTATCCTCTACCTCCCAGGTTCCAATGATTCTCCTGCCTCAGCCTCCCAGGTAGCTGGGATTACAGGCAGGCGCCACCACACCCAGCTAATTTTTGTATTTTTGATAGAGACGGGGTTTCACCATGTTGGTCAGGCTGGTCTCAAACTCCTGACCTCAGGTGATCTGCCTGCCTCAGCCTCCCAAAGTGCTGGGATTACAGGCGCGAGCCACTGCGTCGGCCGGGCACATACTCTTAAGTTAGATTTTTCGATCTTGTCTGCCTATTAAGTTAGGTTGCAGTTCATCCACGAGGACTCAAATATAGAAGTACAGAGTCCTTCTCAGACCATATTTAGTTACTTTAATGCTCCCTAATAGCCAGAAGTTAAAGATGAAATATTGAACATTTTAGGTTAGATCTGGAAGCATTCCACAGTCTGCATCCAACCCAAATTTCGTCACATGCCAAAAAATAATCTTTCCCACCTTCTGGTTTATGCAGGGTTTCTTCTTCTCTGGGTCTTTGGTCACATCCCAGTGCTTCCCCCAATGCACATACACACACACCTGTCTCCTGTTCTCATCCACATCCCTCTCTTCACAGGTCAGGGATCCACCATGGAGATTCTACCAGTTGCTGAGCATGTGTGTCCCAATTTTGCATTCAGGACTGGGGAAGTAACCACAGGATGAGTTCAAAGACTCATTGGGCCCAATATAAGATGGACCTGAGATAAAACTCCATTGATCACCTGCCCTACATAAGCTCCTAGTTTTACTTGTGAACCAGGATGACATGCTCCCACTTCCTTCACGTCATTCCCACAGATATTCTCCAGGTTTCTTTCAGCATACATTGCAAAAAATACACAGTTCTTTGGCTGGGCACAGTGGCTTACCCCTGTAATCCCAGCACTTTGGGAGGCTGAGGCAGGTGGATCACCTGAGGTCAGGAGTTCGAGACCAGCTTGACCAACAGGTAAAACCCCGTCTCTACTAAAAATACAAAAATTAGCTAGGCGTGGTGGCACATGCCTGTTGTCCCAGCTACTTGGGAGGCTGAGGCAAAGAATCTCTTAAACCCAGAAGGCAGAGGTTGCAATGAGCTGAGATCACACCACAGAACTCCAGCCTGGGCGACAGGGCAAGAAACTCTCCAAAAAAAAAAAAAAAAAAAAGCAGTTATTTTGGAGTATAGTATACCTTCTCCTAGGACATACTTTGGAGTATAGTATACCTCACCTTTCATGACGTGCTAGGACTGGAGTCTAGTTCTAGTTTAGAACCAGACAGTAGTGATGGAGGCAGGTCCTGAGGAGAATGAGCAAGGCAAGTGCCTCAGGGGAGGCCATGACACATTCTTCAGGCATAGGCATAGGAGGGCTAACTTCTTCAGGCAGTGGTGGAAAGCCCCTCCAACTGGCAAA